GAACTGATTGGCTCTTTGTGCTGCTTCTACCTCTCATACTGTAGCCCTGTTGTACTGGGACCGTGAGAGGCTAATACCAGGTCACATTCTGATATCTACATTGCTTGCATTTTAAAAAAATAAGTGTAATAAAGTTTTACGGTTTACAGTTTTGCATACATTGTGGTCTTTTATATCTGCCTAGGATTCAGCTTTAAAGAACATGATGTCAGCGGGTAACATTTAGCTAGAGGATCCTCTTTTTCAAGTCATTTCCCTTTCTATTCTATAGGGTTTTGGTATCTGTTTGCAGACAGTGAGAGTTTAATAGTGATACAATATACTGTTGGAGACAACCATGCCACAACAAGCTTTTTACATATATAATCTTTCTTCATTAGGCTCCGTTGTTCGCATCTGTATGGAAAGACATAGACAGATCTCCAACCCCCACATGCCATCCGACTAAAATGGAGAAATGAGAACAATGACAGAAAAGCCCTCTTCTCTAGCACTTAAGGGACACCTCCTCCCAAATCTGATATGTCAGTTAGAGGTGGAATCTATCAGTCTTCGGCACTGGAATCTTTTGGCACTCCACCAGCAACATTTCCCATTCAGGTCACCTAGCTCTGGTCATGTCGACCTTGAAATTTTACGTTGCATGACAGACTACATATTTACCTCAAGTATAGGTTTCCTTTTGTGTATGGATAATACACACACGCACACGCACGCACGCACGCACGCACGCACACACACACACACACTATATTGCCAAAAATATTGCGCCAGCCCTCCAAATCATTGGATTCAGATGTTCCAATCCCCTCCATGGCCACAGGTGTATAAAATCAAGCCCCTAGGCATGCAGACTGCTTCTACAAACATTTGTGAAAGAATGGGTCGCTCTCAGGAGGTCAGTGACTCCAAGCGTGGTCCCGTGATAGGTTGTCACCTGTGCAATAAGTCCATCCGTGACATTTCCTGGCTACTAAATATTCCACGCTCAACTGTTAGTGGGATTATAAAGCAACTGGGAACAACAGCAACTCAGCCACCAAGTGGTAGGCCACGTAAAATGACAGAGCGAGGTCAGCGCATGCTGAAGCGCACAGTGCGCAGAAGTCACCAACTGTCTGCAGAGTCAATAGCTAAAGACCTCCAAACTTCATGTGGTCTTCAGATTAGCACAACAGCAGTGTGTAGAGAGCTTCATTGAATGGGTTTCCATGGCCGAGCAGCTGCATCCAAGCCTTATATCACCAAGTGCAATGCAAAGCGTAGGATGCAATGGTGTAAAGCACGCTGCCACTGGAATCTATAGCAGTGGAGACGTGTTCTCTGGAGTGATGCATTACTCTTCTCTGTCTGGCAATCCGAAGGACATGTCTGGTTTTGGTGGTTGCCAGGAGAACGGTACTTGCCTGACTGCATTGCGCCAAGTGTAAAGTTTGGTGGAGGGGGGATTATGGTGTGGGGTTGGTTTTCAGGGGTTGGGCTTGGCCCTTTAGTTCCAGTGAAGGGAACTCTTAAGGAGTCAGCATACCAGGACATTTTGGACAATTTCATGCTCCCAACTTTGTGGGAAGAGTTTGGGGATGGAACCTTCCTGTTCCAACATGACTGCACACCATTGCACAAAGCAAGGTCCATAAAGACATGGATGAGCAGGTTTGGGGTGGAGGAACTTGACTGGTCTTCACAGAGTCTTGACCTCAACCCGATAGAACACCTATGGGATGAATTAGAGTGGAGACTGCGAAGCAGGTCTTCTGGCTGACCTCACAAATGTGCTTCTGGAAGAATGGTCAAACCTTCCCATAGACACCCTCCTAAACCTTGTGGACTCTTCCCAGAAGAGTTGAAGCTGCCAACTCAAAAATGAGCAGCTAATCCATGCAGTGGGGGCTCATCCCCACTGCATGGTAAAAAAAATAAATAACTGGAGTTCTGCTTTAAGTCCAAACTTTGGAGAAGATGGCACTATGTTGCAAAGGATCATCCTGCAACTGACATATATTTCTCTATCACTCTAGGTTTATTGCAACACCCAGCACCTTCAGCAAGAAGCTTCCCGGCAGGAACTCAGCACTGTCAGCCAGCTTACAACACATCCCGTAGCTGTGAGTTTAGCACATTAACACATGAAGACGAGAGCTTTTCCCTTACCGGACGTCAGGCGTTCGAATGAAGAAGTTGCAACCCCCACCTCGCTACAGGCTCCCCGGCCAATAACTAGCAGACTAGCAGATCACAGCTATAGAAGGAAGTCCCTGTACAAATACACTCATGTAAAAAGTCTAATGAGGAAGTTTCGGAGATTAACCCTTGTGTCATTCGTAATATTACTGGAGGAAGGGTGATGAAACTAGCAACTAGATTTAAAGGGTCAGTCCTCTGAGAATTGACACTTCAATTGTTGGTAGATAGTGAACACTATGGAAGAAAAATATTAGTAGCTATCTGAGCAGACATTGGCATGCATTTATATATTTTCAGACCTCTACCCTTTGTTTCTCCCCTGAAGAAGTAAAGTTTATTCATGAAATGAGTCGGGATTTTTTCTTCCCCATCTTTGATGAACTCTGGTGAACTTTGATCTCTATGTACTCACCATGTTTGGAGCTGGAAGAGTGGCTAGTAGGCAGCGAGGCAGGAGAAATGTTACATAATCTGACGTGATTGTTTTATGATAATATTTAATCATATTTATCAATAAAAAGAAAGTTTTAAAGTATTACTAAGCCCCCAGACCCTGCATTCACTATATCTGGTCTCCCCGGACCCTGCATTTACTATATCTGGTCTCCCAGGACCCTGCATTCACTATATCCGGTCTCCTCGGACCCTGCATTCACTATATCTGGTCTCCCCGGACCCTGCATTCACTATATCTGGTCTCCCCAGACCCTGCATTCACTATATCTGGTCTCCCCAGACCCTGCATTCACTATATCTGGTCTCCCAGGACCCTGCATTCACTATATCCGGTCTCCCCGGACCCTGCATTCACTATATCTGGTCTCCCCGGATCCTGCATTCACTATATCTGGTCCCCCTGAACCCTGCATTCACTATATCTGGTCTCCCAGGACCCTGCATTCACTATATCTGGTCTCCCCAGACCCTGCATTCATTATATCTGGTCTCCCAGGACCCTACATTCACTATATCCGGTCTCCCAGGACCCTGCATTTAGTATATCTGGTCTCCCCAGACCCTGCATTCACTATATCTGGTCTCCCCAGACCCTGCATTCACTATATCTGGTCTTCCTGAACCCTGCATTCACTATATCTGATCTCCCCGGACCCTGCATTCACTATATCTGGTCTCCCCGGATTCACTATATCTGGTCTCCCCGGTCCCTGCATTCACTATATCTGTTCTCCCCGGACCCTGCATTCACTATATCCGCTCTCCCCGGACCCTGCATTCACTATATCCGCTCTCCCCGAACCCTGCATTCACTATATCTGGTCTCCCAGGACCCTGCATTCACTATATCTGGTCTCCCTGAACCCTGCATTCACTATATCTGATCTCCCCAGACCCTGCATTCACTATATCTGGTCTCCCCGGATTCACTATATCTGGTCCCCCCGGACCCTGCATTCACTATATCCGCTCTCCCCGAACCCTGCATTCACTATATCTGGTCTCCCAGGACCCTGCATTCACTATATCTGGTCTCCCCGGACCCTGCATTCACTATATCTGGTCTCCCACAGTACACAGAACATGGAAATGCAATTATTTTGTAAATATAAACTGCTAAATACCTTTTCTCATCAGCAGTATATAGCAGTCGTGTGACTTCTATCAGTGTCCAGCCAAGCACTGGTTAAAGCTTGTAGGAGGAGTTTTCATTTTGCTCTGGGAGAATGCAGGATCCCGACCTCTTTCTGGACAGTTCGGATTGGCTCTGTGCTGATCACATGCACCCTCCCAAGGAAAAAAAAAAACTCTCTGGCAATACACACCAAAACTGAGCATGTGCAGAGTGTCTCACCATGATATGTCTTATAGGAAGATAAGAGGGGGGCACTGGAAGAAGGGGAGGATCAGAGAAGACAGGATCAAACAGCCTTTTTACACAATGCAGAGGATTAACCCCTTAGGTTCCACAGTGAGTATAACAAGCATGCTTTACTGCATATACAGACTGATTTTACTGTTGTGGGTTTAGTAACACTTTAAGTAGATGTGAAATCTGTAGTGGCGATTTCTGTCCCACAGGGTCTTCCCTGTCTTGTCCTGTTTGGGAATCACTATAAAGCAGGCTGTGGTAATAATAGAATGTTCAACTGAAGCATCAGTCCATGGAAAACTGATATTTTAGTGTTCGGTAGAGAGCGCTGCGATGGGAACGATGACATAGTGGTTAGCATTAACTGTATGCCTTGCAGCACTGGGGTCCTTGGCTTGAATCTTGGCCAGGACACTATCTGCATGGCATTTGCATGTTCTGCCTGTGTTGGTGGGGGTTTCCTCCCACACTCTAAAGACATGTCGGTAGGTAATTTGGCTCTAGTATGTGTGTATAAATTATCTGTGCATGTGTTACCACATTCTGCATGCCGGTCCCAAGATGAGCAAATGGGAAAAGTTGAGGAACATGCTTTTTAAAAATCATTCAAGCTCGGTGGCAGTAAATCTCAGGACTGGATGGACAGAAATAATTCTCCTTCAGCAGGCAAAACAGCTTGTGTATACTGTATGTATTTCATTTTGGTATTTAGTTGTTTGCCTGGAGTTCAATGAGTTTAAATGAACAAAAAAAAAAAATCAGGAGCTGAAATATGTTCTAATCTGATCACGGAAGATTAAAAGACAAAGGCCTTGCTGTGCGGTGGAACAGGTAGGTGATTGTTCAACATGTCAAACCTCATTTTCAAAGACATAAGAAAACATGTTCAATAATTTCTCAGTACCAGGGGCGGACTGACCATTTGGAAACTTGGGCACTGCCCGAGGGCCCAGGGTCAGTAGGGGGCCCCATGAGATGCCCCTGGTACCTTTTTCATAGGCTTTCTTGAGTTTGGGCAAGGACACAGGGCCCCATGATCCCCTATTGCCTGGGGGCCCCATGAGTTGTCAGTTCGCCCCTGCTCAGTATGCACGTTAAAATCAAAGTGTGGCGACTGAAGAACGCATTTATCAAACCTGCTCAAGCAAAGCACAAGAGCAAAAAATAAGTAAATAAAATGTTGTCTGTACACTCCCCTATATGCATTCAATCCTACACAATAATCAGATCAATGAGGTATTCACCCCCTGCCCTCTTGTACATTGCAGGGACACTACTAGCAAGATCTTAACTTATGGGTTCCCAACTCCGCCCAATGTCTATAGATGCTGATTTGCAATTGCTCATCTTGCCTGGGGGTTTTCTCACTGTCACCAGCACCTGATGCCACTACAGCCAGTATAATACACTGCTCTAAAAAATGAAAGGAACACATAGAAAACCCATCAGATCTCAATGGGGACAAATCTCCTGCTGGATCTCTATCCTGACATGGACGGGGTAATGTGTGAGGAACGTAAGGATGTCCCATTGTTTGATGGAAATGCGAATTATCAACCTACAGAGGACTGAATTCAAAGACACCCCGAAAATCAAAGTGAAAAAATGATGCAGCAGGCTAGTCTATTTTGCTTAAATGTCATTGCAGCAACTCAGAATGGTCCTCAGTAGTTTTTATGGCCCCCACGTGCTTGTATGCATGCCTGACAACGTCGGGGAGGCTCCTAATGAGACGACGGATGGTGTCCTGGGGGATTTCCTTCCAGATCTGGACCAGGGCATCACTGAGCTCCTGGACAGTCTGAGGTGCAACCTGGAGGCGTCGGATGGACTGAAACATGACATCCCAGAGGTGTTCTATTGGATTTAGGTCAGGCGAGTGTGGGGGCCATTCAATGGTATCAATTCCTTCATCCTCCAGGAACTGCCTGCATAATCTAACCACATGAGGCCGGGCATTGTTGTGCATCAGGAGGAACCCAGGACCCACTGCACCAGTGTAGGGTCTGACAATGGGACCAAGGATTTCATCCCAATACCTAATGGCAGTCAGGGTGCCATTGTCTAGCCCAGGGGTGGGCAAACTTTTTGACTTGAGGGCCGCAATGGGTTCATATATTGGACCCGGGGGCCGGACCAAGAGTAGATGAATGATCTGTATGTTTCATCCATAGTAAGTATAGTAATATTCCCCCATAGTAAGCATAGTAATTAATCCCCCGTAGTAATTCATCCCCCGTAGTAATTCATCCCCCGTAGTAATTCATCCCCCATATAGTAATTCATCCCCCATATAGTAATTCATCCCCCATATAGTAATTCATCCCCATAGTAATTCATCCCCCATAGTAATTCATCCCCCATATAGTAATTCATCCCCCATATAGTAATTCATCCCCCATATAGTAATTCATCCCCCATATAGTAATTCATCCCCCATAGTAATTCATCCCCCATATAGTAATTCATCCCCCATATAGTAATTCATCCCCCATAGTAATTTATCCCCCATATAGTAATTCATCCCCCATATAGTAATTCATCCCCCATAGTAATTCATCCCCCATATAGTAATTCATCCCCCATATAGTAATTCATTCCCCATATTAATTCATCCCCCCTATAGTAAGTCCCCCCTGTGTCAATTCACTTACCTTTGCTCCGCGCGTTCCTCTCGCCGTGTTCTCGCGCCATTCCGGTATAGCATGAAAATCTGTCTCCTATGAGGATCTGTCCCCCTCGACGTATCTGCGCATGTGCCAGTTTCCGGCATTAGCAGCCGATCGGCGATCTCCGGCACATGCGCAGATACGTCGAGGGGGACAGATCCTCATAGCAGACAGATTTTCATGCTACACCGGTCTTCAGGGCGGACTGTGAGAGGAGCCTAGCGGGAGCCTAGCTCCGCGGGCCGGATTAAAAGGTCCGCCGGGCCGTATACGGCCCGCGGGCCGTAGTTTGCCCATTGCTGGTCTAGCCTGTAGAGGTCTGTGCATCCCTCCATGGATATGCCTCCCCAGACCATCATTGACCCACCACCAAAACAGTCATACTGAACGATGTTACCGGACAGCAGAACGTTCTCCACGGCTTCTCCAGACCCTTTCACATCTGTCACATGTGCTCCGGGTGAACCTGCTCTCATCTGTGAAAAGCCAGTGGCGGACCTGCCAATTCTGCTGTTCAATGGCAAATGCCAATCGAGCTCTATGGTGCCGGGCAGTGAGCACAGGGCCACTAGAGGACGTCGGGCCCTCAGGCCACCCTCATGAAGTCTGTTTCTGATTGTTTGGTCAGAGACATTCACACCAGTGTCCTGCTGGAGGTCATTTTGTAGGGCTCTGGCAGTGCTCATCCTGTTCCTCCTTGCACAAAGGAGCAGATACCGGTCCTGCTGATGGGTTAAAGCGGAGTTCCACTCATCCTGTCAAAAAATAAAAGTCAGTAGCTACAAAAACTGTAGCTGCTGACTTTTAAAAAGCAGCCACACACCTGTCCCTCGGTCCCACGGTGTGTCCCTCGCAGCCCGTTTCACCAGCCTTCCTGTATTCCAGGAAGCCGGCATCTTCAGTGTGGGCACCCGGCTGTGACAGCTTGCGGCTTCACAGCCGGGCACCCACTGCGCATGCGTGAGTAGCGCTGCGCTTCATAAATGGTTCTGTAGTCTTCTGGGACCTGTCACATGTCCCAAAAGACAACAGGGAGGGAGGGAGGGAGGAGGCAATCGAACCAGAAGTGGGAGCGGGTACCTGTCAAATTTGGGTTTACACTCCCCCCCGCCCCCCAAAGGTGCAATCCTTAACGAGGAGCGGGGGAGCAGTCCTTAAAGCGGAACTTCTCCTTTTGGGTGGAGCTCCGCTTTAAGGACCTTCTACAGCCCTGTCCAGCTCTCCTAGAGTAACTGCCTGTCTCTTGGAATCTCCCTCCATGCTCTTGAAACTGTGCCGGGAGACACAGCAAACCTTCTAGCAATGGCACGTATTGATGTACCATCCTGGAGGAGTTGGACTGCCTGTGCAACCTCTGTAGGGTCCAGGTATTGCCTCATGCTACCAGTAGTGACACTGACCCTAGCCAAATGCAAAACTAGTGAAAAACAGTCAGAAAAGATGAGTAGGAAAGAAATGTCAGTGGCCTCCACCTGTAAAACCATTCCTGTTTTGGGGGTTGTCTCATTGTTGCCCATCTAGTGCACCTGTTAATTTCATTAACACCAAAGCAGCTGAAACTGATTAACAACCCCCTCTGCTACTTAACTGACCAGATCAATATCCCAGGAGTTTCACTGACTTGAAGCTAGACTCTGATTGAAAAGTCTTCCTTTCATTTTTCGAGCAGTGTATATTACAGATGAGCAGAGGACACGATTGACAGGATTATCTTGCAGCAGTTTGTGTCCCTAGTTCCTCCTATAAATACTCCTCAAATAAGGGTGATGATGTGAGACCAGGGTACAGCAACATCACAACAGACCACCTAGATGAGGGACTGTCCTGGCAAATCCAGGACAGTTTGAATCTATGCTATTGAAAGGGGGAGGTAACAATAAGAACTCCTCAAATATGGGTAATGCTGTAATTCTAGGACACAGTCCAGGGCACAACGTCATGAGGACAGAGCACCTAAATGCAGGACTGTCGTTGCAAATCAAGGACGGTTGGAATCTATGCTACTGCGAGGGGGAGGCAGCAACAAGAACTCCTGAAATAATGGTGGTGCTGTGATCCCGGGACACAGCATCATTAAGACAAAGCAAATACATATGACAGCGTCTTAGCAATCAAAGGACACTTGGCAGCTATGCTATTGAGAGGAGGAAGACAGAAAAATGAGGACTCCTGAACAGGAGCGGACTGACAACTCATGGGGCCCCTGGGCAATAGGGGTTCATGGGGCCCCTGTGTCCTTACCCAAACTCAAAAAAGCCTATGAGAAAGGTACCAGGGGCATCTCATGGGGCTCCCTACTGACCCCGGGCCCTCGGGCAGTGCTCGAGTTTCCAAATGGTCAGTCCGCCCTGCTCCTGAAATAAAGATGATGCTTTGATCCTGGGACACAGCATCACCAAGGCAGAGATCCTAAATGCATGACAGTCCCAGAAAATCCAGGACAGTTTGAATCCATGCTATTGAAAGGGGGGAGGTAACAATAAGGACTCCTCAAATATGGGTAATGCTGTAATTCTAGGACACAGCCCAGGGTACAGCGTCATCAGGACAGAGCACCGAAATGTGGGACAGACACAGAAAATCCAGGACAGTTGCCATTTATGCTATTGAGAAGGTGAAAGGCTGAAATAAGGACTCTTGGTATAAGAGTAATGCTGTGATTCTGGGACACAGCCCAGGACAGAGCATCAGAGCTTGTAGATGCATGACTGTCCTGGCCAATTAACGACCATTGGCATCTATGCTACTGAGTGGGGATGGCAGAAAGGAGCCTTCTGTGGGTGTGTTGGGGGTACTTCTATACCGAACTACAAAGAAATATAAAAAAAGGGGTTCCCAGAGAAGCAGATTATTGACAAGAGGGAGTGAGATAAGCTAGTGCACCACAGCAATGTCTCAAAGGGAAATGGAAACCACAAGATGATCGGCGATGCTTCCTCTGTACATCTCAAGGTTTTATTTTAACTGCAAAAACCCTAAAGCATATAAATACATTTTTTACATTTTAGAAGTCACAGGGGAAGTCACTTTCTTTATTTTTAGCCCTGGTTCACACTGATGTGGTGCGGAATTTGCTGCATTTTCTGTGCGAATTCCACTCCTTATCAGAATCGCACCCCGTTCATGTGAACCGCTGCGTATGTTAAGTTAACAACACCCCGAAATCTGTCTGCAAAACACGATGCGATGTGCAGAATCGGTGTGAATACCCATGCAATCCAATTATAGTGTGCACCCAAAAAAGGGTCCTGCACCTTTTTGGTGCGGGTGAGGTGCGATTAGAGCCATACATAATGTATGGCTCCAATCGCACCGCAGACAAATCGCATGTGGTTTACACAGGAATGTGGTGCAGTTCCGAGTGCGAATAACATGCGATATACCACACCGCATTTATGTGAACCCAGGCTAAGACAGAAAAGGGATGTGAAATCAAAAATTCTACACCGATTTCTGAAACAGGTGTAGCTAGCTAGAAGGAGCTAGTTAATTATTTTTTCAGTTAGAAAGTAGCAGTAGCAGCCTGGGCAATAGTCAGCTGGGTCAAATTTGGGTCGGGCTGAGAGGCTCTTTAGATCAGGTCCTTGATACTTCCCCCCCCCCCCCCGCTCTAGAATTCTGGAGAAGATTCTAGAAGCAGTGGGCGGGTGTGAGGAGGGGCTGGTCTGCAGTTATGGTGGAAGATGAGAGGAAGCTGAGATGCAGGAGCCTGGGAGGGGGCCCAGTGGAAGAGGCCTACCTTCAGGCAGGCCGCTGGAAAGGAGGATCGCTCAGCCTCACCAGCCCCCTGAAGGAAAGGAACCAACCTAGCAGAAGGCCTGAAGGCAGCCACCTACTTAAATCAGCTCACAGGACTGAGACTGAGTGAATAGTCCTACACCCCCTGGGCCAGCTAAGGAAAAAGAGCACTCTGGGGGGAAACCTGATTAGTTCCTTAACAGGACTGTTTCATTTAGGCCCCATGTACACGGGACACTTCTGAACAATGGAAACTGACTGCTGGAAAACATAGGTTAAAAAACGTCTGCTTAGCCGCGTTTGCATACTGTGTTTATGCGCATTTATACACGTTTACGTTTAGAAACGTTTTTTAAACATACGCACAGGAGAACCTCCCAAATGCCCAGAATGCACTGAAAAGTGGTAAATTATTAACTATTTCAGACTGTTTCAGAGAAATACAGAGAGTAGAAGCAGAGACAGCAGTATACAGGGGCGGACTGACAACTCATGGGGCCCCCGGGCAACAGGGGATCATGGGGCTCCTGTGTCCTTGCCCAAACTCAAAAAAGCCTATGAAAAAGGTACCAGGGGCATCGCATGGGCCCCCTACTGACCCCGGGCCCTCGGGCAGTGCCCGAGTATCCAAATGGTCAGTCCGCCCCTGGCAGTATGTGTTGAGATTAGCTAGCTGTGAGTTGCTCATTAACATTTCTTTTGTTTCCAAGGGTGGGAAAGGTGTCTGGTGGAGGGAGTCATTAAGGCCACCTGGCAGGGGGTCTTCATGAGGAATTTGAGGTGTGAATGGGCATTAACATATCTTTTGTTTCCAAAGGTGGAAGAGGTCTGAGGTGTGAATTGGTCATTACAATGTGTGACAAGCTTGGTAGGAACATCCTGTGTTCAGTGTTTAGTCCATTTGAGTACCTTGAAAACGCTTTGCATGCATTTTTCATGATGAAAAAAGGTTCTGGACAGCATTGGGAACTGGAAGAGTTAAAAAAAAAATGCTTATAAACGTGATTTGCCGCGTTTACAAGCATTTTATGTTTGAAATGCTGATAAAATCGACTGCTGAACACAAGTTTTCTGCGTTCAAAAAAATGACTGTAAACTCAAATGCCTGTAAATGACTGTAAACGATGATGTGTACATGGACACATAGGAAAACATTAGGGTGAGTTCAGGGGCTGGCTGCTGAAAAAAAATCACTGAACAGCTCCTAAAACGTGAGTTAATCAGCTGCAGTGTACATGAGCCCTTAAAGTGGCAGGCACTGGATCCCGTTGCCCAGGGATTCCCTCAGGCAGCTGGATAAGAAGAGGATTATCTGGGGTCTGGGGTGGTACACCAGGAGAGGCTGGGGAGCTCTCCAAGAAGAGTTTCTGCTGTGTAAAGACTTGTACATAGTTGCTAAGGAGTTTGCCCTCCGTTTGCAGTTCCATTGGGCATCCCATACACCCCTTACCCCATCCAAATTTATCACCCCTTAATAAAAACATAAAAGCAAGCTCAAGGGGTGTTTACTGACCCCGGACTCAAGTCTAGGGAAAATGTGTGTTGCCTGGCTGTGCAGGATTATAGGGGGACCCAAATCTTCAGCAACTCCTACGGGGGTAGCGCTGCACAGGAAATCAGAAGAAACCTATTCTTGTAACAATGGTCTAAGAGAGAATTCCCCTAAATGACAACAAAAAAACAACAATAATATATGGCAGCTTGCCAGAACCTAAATGTGGTGACTGCATTAGTATTCATCATGGCGGGCTTTCTACCTTCATTGTCTCCAGGTGATCCTGCCAGTAAAACACTTCCTGTTTCACCATACTGTATGTTAGAGGAGCAGCGTTGTCACCAGGGGCGGACTGACAACTCATTGGGCCCCCCGGGCAATAGGGGATCATGGGGCCCCTGTGACCTTGCCCAAACTCAAAAAAAGCCTATGAAAAAGGTACCAGGGACATCTCATGGGGCCCCCTACTGACCCTGGGCCCTCAGGCAGTGCCCGAGTTTCCAAATTGTCAGTCCGCCCCTGGTTGTTACCCCAGGACATGAAGTGTGTGAAGACTACAGACCACCTCATCTGTCCGGCATAGGTGGGAGGAGTTCTGTAGTCCTCAAAGATAACTGACTTAGTTATGAGAGTGCAGCAGATGCAGACTGTGCAGGAAATTATCGCCACCGAGATTTCTGGCAGCATCAACAGTTTTTTTTTTTTTTTATAAGAAATATATAACAAAAAATGTTAGTTGTATATTTAACAGACTAAAAGCCAACAAGAGAACGTTATTAATATTAGGAATTACATACACTTTATCTTTGGGAAATACCTTTTATTTTCTGTTGCATCTGCAGGACAGGAAGTGAGGGGAAATCTACCCACAAGGACACAGACACAAGAAGGAGACGTGACGTAGAGTGAAACCCTTCTGTACTCTGTTTATTAAACTCCTCACCATGTGCATTGGAAGCTGCGGGCAGTCAGACAGAACCCACTGCATTTCCTGGCTGGAGAACGTGCATCACCTAGCCCAGGGGTCTCCAAACCTTCTAATCAAAGGGCCAGTTTATTATCCTTCAGACTTTAGGGGGACTGGACTGAGGCCAGTGGGAATATGTCCCGGAGTTGATGGGAGTGAGCAATGCCCCATCATTGGTATCATTGGAGGAATAGTGCCCCATCATTGGTGTCAGTGGGATGAATAGTGCCCCATCATTGGTGTCAGTGGGAGGAATAGTGCCCCATCATTGGTATCATTGGGAGGAATAGTGCCCCATCATTGCTATCAGTGGGAGGAACTGGTATAGTGCCCCATGATTGGTATCAGTGGGAGGTACTGTATAGTGCCCCATCATTGGTATCAGTGGGAGGAATAGTGCCCCATCATTGGTATTAGTGGGAGGAATAGTGTCCCCATCATTGCTATCAGTGGGAGGAATAGTGCCCCATCATTGGTATCAGTGGGAGGAATAGTGCCCAATCATTGGTATTAGTGGGAGGAATAGTGCCCCATCATTGGTGTCAGTGGGAGAATAGTGCCATATCATTGCTATCAGTGGGAGGAATAGTGCCCCATCATTGGTATTAGTGGGAGGAATAGTGCCCCATCATTGGTGTCAGTGGGAGGAATAGTGCCCCATCATTGGTGTCAGTGGGAGGAATAGTGCACCATCATTGGTATTAGTGGGAGGAATAGTGCCCCATCATTGGTGTCAGTGGGAGGAATAGTGTCCCATCATTGGTGTCAGTGGGAGGAATAGTGCCCATCATTGGTGTCAGTGGGAGGAATAGTGCACCATCATTGGTATTAGTGGGAGGAATAGTGCCCCATCATTGGTGTCAGTGGGAGGAATAGTGTCCCATCATTGGTATCAGTGGGAGGAATAGTGCCCCATCATTGGTGTCAGTGGGAGGAATAGTGCTTCATGATTGGTTTCAGGGGGAGGAATAGTGCCCCATCATTGGTTTCAGGGGAGGAATAGTGCCCCATCATTGGTATCAGTGAGAGGAATAGTGCCCCATCATTGGTATCAGTGGAAGGAATAGTGCTTCATGATTGATTTCAGGGGGAGGATTAGTGCCCCATCATTAGTGTCAGTGGGAGGAATAGTGCTCTATCATTGGTGAGAGTGGAAGGAATAGTGCCCCATCATTGGTGTCACTGGGAGGAATAGTGCTCTATCATTGGTGAGAGTGGAAGGAATAGAGCCCCATCATTGGTGTCACTGGGAGGAATAGTGCCCCATCATTGGTGTCACTGGGAGGAATAGTGCCCCATCATTGGTGAGAGTGGAAGGAATAGTGCCCAATCGTTGGTATCAGTGGGAGGAATAGTGCCCATCATTGGTGTCAGTGGGAGGAATCGTGCCCCAATGTTGGTGCCAGTGGGAGGAATTGTGTCCCAAGGGCCAGATAAAGGCAAGCAAAGGGCCACACCCGGCCATCGCACCGCAGTTTGGAGACCACTGATCTAGCTCTTTCCACCCCAACCTTACTGTCTCTGGCCTGCCTCTTTCATTCATTGGATTTCAGTTCACATATGGGTGTTCTGCCTGCAATTACAGCCTACTTAGGAATGCCCACTAATCCAGACTGACATTCACACATCAAGGCATTTTAATATTTGTGTAACTCCTCCCAAGAGACAGCCCACTGCTTACATCTGGCCTAAGAACTCTCGAGAGGAGTACTGAAGTAAAATGCTGTGATGTTTTCAGGAAGCTATGTACAGAACTCTGCTTACCCCTCCCACCAGCCACGACCTGCCTGCTTTGCATAGAGAAGCTGAGAGACCCAGTGATGACATGCGTGTTGATGACAGAGAAGTAAAAATATAAGCAGATTAAACTTCAGTTTTAAAGCATAACTTCTCCAGGATATAAAAAAAAATCTATAGAAAGACATTCTATTCTCATACAGGGTTGCTTGTTGTGTCACTTAGGGATGCTCTATAGGTCTCCATCCTGCTACTTCAGCTGCACTAAAGGTCAGTCTTTAGGTTGGTTATGGTAAATGAGTGACACCAGAAAAAAGTGTTTTACAAATGTCTTCTTTTGGTGACACCACTGGTCTGCTAGACATAAGGATCTGTAACCTCACCAGGATGCTCCCTATGCATTCCCTCATTGCCCAAAGTGCTCATCAACCAATAGGAAGCTGGGGATCAGGAAACTGACACATCGCACTTGTCACCTCCCATTCCCTCCTCTAGATGACCAATGGTTTTACATCGCCTCGCCACCATCTTAATATATATAGTCCAGAGGAATACATTGTATCTTCCAAGGAAATCATATGAACAATATATACAATTAATAACATAGACAGGAGCTGCTATTGTCTGCTTGGTACCTGAAGTTCCAACTCCAGATCCTTCATTAGTGACCCAGAGGCCCCAAACAAGCAAGTAGCCAGTGAGGGTGGGTCACATGGTCATTTTAGGTCAAATAATGAAACAAAGACGGAGAATGACAGCCCAGGAGCTTGCACTTTAAAAAGACAAGTCAGCGGTTTCAGAAAGTATAACATATAAGCTGTATAGGATGCCGTGCTCATAGCAGATTCTCCAGGGACTAATAATTCTGATGATTGTAGACTCGGCTCTCTGCCATGGATGATAAACCCCGCGTGTTTTCTGCTCTCACACCTTCCCATCCCCACCTCAGGATTAGTCTGCCTGTCTGACACAAGTGTGAAAGAATTGCAAGATTCACCCCAGAAACAGGAAACACGGCTTCAGAATGACGCTATGCTGGGACGCAGCAACCAGGTATATACTACAGACTGTGCACGTGTATAGATCCGCACTATACAACCCGGTGTACACTACAGACTCTGCACGGGTAGGGATCCGCACTACACGACCCGGTATATACTAAAGACTGTGCACGTGTATAGATCCACACTAAACAACACGGTGTACACTACAGACTCTGCACGTGTATAGATCCGCACTACACAACCCGGTATACACTACCGACTCTGCACGTGTATAGATCCGCACTGCACGACCCGGTGTACACTACAGACTGTGCATGTGTATAGATCCACACTAAACAACCCGGTGTACACTACAGACTGTGCACGTGTATAGATCCGCACTACACGACCCGGTGTACACTACAGACTGTGCACATGTATAGATCCGCACTACACGACCCGGTATATACTACAGACTGTGCACTTGTATAGATCCGCACTACACGACCCCACGACCCGGTATATACTACAGACTGTGCACGTGTATAGATCCGCACTATACAACCCGATGTACACTACAGACTCTTCACGTATATAGAGCCGCACTATACAACCCGGTATATACTACAGACTGTGCACGTGTATAGATCTGCACTATACAACCCGGTATACACTACAGACTCTGCACGTGTATAGATCTGCACTATACAGTACCTGGATCAGGGGTGCAGGGATGGGGATCAGTACCTGGATCAGGGGTGCAGGGGATGGGGATCAGTACCTGGATCAGGGGTGCAGGGAATGGGGATCAGTACCTGGATCAGGGGTGCAGGGGATGGGGCGCAGTACCTGGATTCAGGGGTGCAGAGGATGAGAATCAGTACCTGGATTCAGGGGTGCAGAGGATGAGGATTAGTACCTGGATCAGGGGATGGGGCTCAGTGGGCTCAGTTGGATTCAGGGGTGCAGGGGATGGGGATCAGTACCTGCATTCAGGGGTGCAGGGATGGGGCTCAGTACCTGATCAGGGGTGCAGGGATGGGGCTCAGTACCTGGATTCAGGGGTGCAGGGATGGGGCTCAGTACCTGGATTCAGGGGTGCAGAGGATGAGGATCAGTACCTGGATCAGGGGTGCAGGGGATGAGGGTCAGTACCTGGATCAGGGGTGCAGAGGATGGGGCTCAGTACCTGGATCAGGGGTGCAGGGATGGGGATCAGTACCTGGATCAGGGGTGCAGGGATGGGGCTCAGTACCTGGATCAGGGGTGCAGGGGATGGGGATCAGTACCTGGATCAGGGGTGCAGGGGATGGGGCGCAGTACCTGGATTCAGGGGTGCAGAGGATGAGAATCAGTACCTGGATTCAGGGGCAGAGGATGCAGAGGGATGAGGGATCAGTTAGTACCTGGATCAGGGGATGGGGCTCAGTACCTGGATTCAGGGGTTCAGAGGATGAGGATCAGTACCTGGATCAGGGGTGCAGAGGATGGGGATCAGTACCTGGATTCAGGGGTGCAGGGGATGAGGATTAGTACCTGGATCAGGGGTGCAGGGGATGGGGCTCAGTACCTGGATTCAGGGGTGCAGGGATGAGGATCAGTACCTGGATCAGGGGTGCAGAGGATGAGGATCAGTACCTTTATCAGGGGTGCAGGGGATGGGGATCAGTACCTGCATTCAGGGGTGCAGGGGATGGGGCTCAGTACCTGGATCAGGGGTGCAGGGGATGGGGCTCAGTACCTGGATCAGGAGTGCAGAGGATGAGGATCAGTACCTGGATCAGGGGTGCAGGGGATGGGGCTCAGTACCTGGATCAGGGGTGCAGGGATGAGGATCAGTACCTGGATCAGGGGTGCAGGGATGGGGCTCAGTACCTGGATCAGGGGTGCAGGGGATGAGGATCAGTACCTGGATCAGGGGTGCAGGGGATGGGGCTCAGTACCTGGATCAGGGGTGCAGGGGATGGGGCTCAGTACCTGGATTCAGGGGTGCAGGGATGGGGCTCAGTACCTGGATTAGGGGTGCAGGGATGGGGCTCAGTACCTGGATCAGGGGTGCAGGGGATGGGGCTCAATACCTGGATCAGGGGTGCAGGGATGAGGATCAGTACCTGGATCAGGGGTGCAGAGGATGAGGATCAGTACCTGGATCAGGGGTGCAGGGATGGGGCTCAGTACCTGGATCAGGGGTGCAGAGGATGAGGATCAGTACCTGGATCAGGGGTGCAGGGATGGGGTTCAGTACCTGGATCAGGGGTGCAGGGATGGGGCTCAATACCTGCATTCAGGGGTGCAGGGGATGGGGATCAGTACCTGGATCAGGGGTGCAGGGATGGGGTTCAGTACCTGCATTCAGGGGTGCAGGGGATGGGGATCAGTACCTGGATCAGGGGTGCAGGGATGGGGCTCAGTACCTGGATTCAGCAGCCCAGGCAGTGCAGGCTGTCAGCCGTGTCTCTGGCTCTCCTGATTTCTACACAGACGTTTCCGGGTTGGTGAATGAGCGTCACGGCTTCAGGTCGGCGGAGCTGCTGCAGCGTGTGTGAAATATCTCTATAAAAGGAAGACAGAAGCACAGGAAGCGTACCTCGCAGAGGATGGACTGCTGATGTCTGCTCTGCCCTCCACGGGGCCACACACCAGAGAACAGCGATCTGGGTGCTCCGCGCTCGCTCGGGTCATGAAGCGTACCTCGCAGAGGATGGAC